TGGCTAAAGTTCCCATTGTCAAGGTGCACACTGATTTGTCTTTCCATATTTGTTTTTGGTGTTCTTACGCATATGACCTTTTACGCAAATATTGACCTTTTAAGGAATCGAATTTAAAAATGGCTTTTATAAAAAACCCGCTCTGAATAATAAGCTGTTAAACCAATTTTTTTTCTTTTCAGTTGAAAATCTGGCATTGACTCGATCGGATCGCTGAACTATCTTACAACGCCTAATTCGTTAATTAAACCCTACTACAAAAATTGTGATTCTGCCGCAGCAACATATCGAGCTTTAAGAGGAGATTACACATCCATACTAAGTCCAACTTATGCAAAAATAAAACCAGCTGACCATTCACAACGTCGTGATACCTGGAATGGCAGCTTGAACAAAAAAAAAATTTTCTTCAAACATGAAACACATTTCTCACACGGTTGATATGTTAATAAAAAATTGTCGCATTTGGGGTTCTGATAAATCCTCGCAGTTTGAGGCGATATTTGCTCCAAAGGTATGACTGGACCTTACTCCTTCGAAAACATCAATGGAATAACTGCCAACGGTATGATAACCGATTTTTTTACTTACTAAAATACGACTTCGAGCATATGTGGTTTTAACAAGACGATACTACATTTCGCACAACCCGATCGAATATGGCTTCATTGCAAGAGATATTTCCTTGACGCATAATTTTTGGCGTGGCGATATAAACTGGCCTCAAAGATCATGCGATTTGTGCAAATAAATCTTTAACTCTTGAGCACTTAAAAAACCTTCATTCGGCAAGTTATGACTGAGATACCGTCCAATATGTGTCAACAAGTGGCCGAAAAATACCACAAAAGAATCAATGTTTGCAACAGTTCGCGCCATTTAAATGATGTAGTGTTTCACATATAATCTCAACGTTTAAACTTTATAATAAAATACATGTTCTATGAAAAATATTTTATATGTGTTTTATTGACCTTTATCTTTGGAACCACGATATGGATAACCCTGTACATGTATTGCCAATGAAACCTTAGAGTTCCTTCTACACATCTGTGCAAAATTTATGAAAATCGGTTAAGTAGTTGCCGAGTTATTTGCATTTGAATTTAACGATGATCTGAAATGTGCTTGCTGTTTGGTGCTGGGCACCTGTTACCCGAAAATGAAAAACCACACAAAAATCGATTTCTTAAAAATTGCAATTTTTCGAGTTTTTAGAAATTAGAATTTTGTGTGGTTTTTCATTTTCTGGTAACAGGTGCCCAGCACCGAAGAGCAATCACATTTCGGATCACGGTTGAATTCAAATGAAAATAACTCAGCGAATAATTAACCGATTTTCATGATTTTTGCAGAAATGTTTAGAGGAAATTCTGAAGTTTTATTACATACTGAAATAATACAGATATACAAATGTTATGTATATGAGAGAAAATTAGCATTATATGAACGTACAATGATATGTAAAATATCGACTTTTTTGTTAAATGCAATAAATGGGCAGTATAGTCGATCTGAGGAAAGGAAACTGTGCTATATATGCCATACATAAATGATAGATCAGGAATATTATATTTTTACTATACGGCAAAAAATTGCATTCAGAATTTAAATGATGGTACCTTATGGGAGTGTTATAATAAAAAATGCACCGATATCGATAATTTTTGGTAGGGAGATTTGTTACCCAATGTGAACTCAAAGTACCAAATAACAGTCAAATTGGTTAAAATCCTGCCACAAAATCCCCAAAATATAGAATAATGGGAGTAACTTTATATGGGGGACATCTTTAAAAGTTAACCGATATCGAAAAGATTTAGTAGGGAGATTTTTGCTACACAATAAGAGCTCATAGTACCAAATAACAGTTAATTATTTTGAATATGTACGTGCAATAAATAGACAAAACCGAAGAATGTAAGGGGCTCCATTATATGGGAAGTATCAAAAAATTGGTATCCAAATTGAAATGTTGATGTCCTTTGTCCTCTATAACCTTATGAATTCTATCTTCTGTCTATAAAATACCTTTTGTGAGGGACTTGTGTCCCAAAAAACCCACGTTGGAACTCTTAATTCTTCTGTGTAAGAAGAATTAATTTTGAAGGTCTTCTCTCTCTATACAACCATCTTTTACAGATAGAAGACTATTAAAAGCTTCTCTTTTACGGACAGAATACCCTGCAGATGTCTACCATTGACAGAGGACCTTCAACAGACCTTTCACTTTGTTTACATATAACCAAAAAATAAGTCGATATTTAAAATATTTAACAAATTTCACACAATGCTAAGTTTCTCTTACATAAGATAACTTTCTATATGTAGAGCCAGTATGTAATATAACTTCAGAATTCCCCCTAACCATTTGTGTAAATTTTATGAAAATCGGTTAAGTATTCGCCGAGTTATTTGCATTTGAATTCAACCGTCATTCGAAATGTGCTTGCTGTTCGGTACTGGGCACCTGTTACATGAAAATGAAAAATCACACAATAATCGAGTTTTTAAAAATGGCAATTTTTTGGTGTTTTTAAAACTTCGATTTTTGTGTGATTTTTCATTTTTAGGTAACAGGTGCCCAGCACCCAACAGCAAGCCCATTTCGAATGACGGTTGAATTCAAATGCAAATAACTCGGCGAATACTTAACCGATTTTCATAAAATTTACACAAATGGTTAGGGGGAATTCTGAAGTTTTATGGCGTACTCTAAATATTCATATCTACAAATGTTATGTGCATAATAATTACGTGAAAGCTCCAAGATATGTAAAATATCGACTATTTTTTATAGTTAAATGTTAAAAGAAGTAATATAATCGACTTGGGGTCAGCCTGCTCTATATACTCTACATAAATAACAGATTATTGGAAAATCTACATGATCTGACACGAAAAAATAAACAAGTAAAAAGGTTAAGATCGATCAGGCCAATTGGGACCTTCATAAATATTCAATATTTAACTGTCAAAAATTTAATTGTCTTTCACACAAAAATGCACAGGAAAAATATATATAAAAATATCCTATTTTTTTTAAATCAAAAAAAAAAAAAAAAATGAAATAAATAAAACAAATAATATTGACATATACAAATTTCTGTTTGTTTTTATTATTATTATTCAAGTTTTATCATATACAAAAATAATATAATATTTAATCAATTATGTTCGTGTTGGTTGTTGATGTTTAAAAAATATATATATTATAGTAAATTTCTTTAATAAAAAATATACTTAAAATTTACACAATTAAAAAAAAAATAATAATAAAATTAAAAAATAAATCAAGCAATTGATAAAAAACAGAACTTAAGAGAAATTCTTAAAAAAACACACACAACGATCGGTGTGTTTTGACATTTTCTGCTACTTAACATCAATGATTAAAAAAAAAATAATAATAAAAATAATTAAATCAATAATTCTTCAAATTGCTTTAATATGAGGGATAAATAATAATAATAATTAAAAAAATTGGTGTAAGGATTTCAATAATAGAAAACATATGTTTTGAGGGGGAAAAAATAAAATAATAATAAAACAAAAAACAATTAATTCACATTTGATATGATTTAAAGTTATAAAATAATAAAAAATAATATTAATAAAACAGTTATTGAATTTAATTTGCATAAAACAAAATTCTTTCTTTTAAGACTTGCCTCCCTCTTTTTTTAATTTTTTTTTAAATATTTTTTTTTTATTGTAGATGTTTTTTTTCATTAAGAAAGAAACAAGACTTTGATATTTTGTTTTTATTTTTTCTTTCTTTTTTTTTTAAGGGTTTCCATTGAGTTTTATGCTTAAAATCTAATGTGGGGGAGTTGGTTGGTGGTGGTGGTTGTGTAGAACAATAATTAAACATAAATCACAAAAAATTATAATTATAAACGAAAGTGTAGTGATATTTTTTTCTTATTTTTAAAAATATATATTTTAATTAATATTATAATAAAAAAAACATTTGCGAGTGTTACGCATTATTTTTTAAAAATAGTTTTTACTTGTTTTGTTTTAAAACTAAAAAACCAACAAAAAGGAATAATAGAGTGTGTTTTAAATATTAAATTGAGAGGAGTTTTTAATTCTACCTTGTATATAAGGTAAAGGAAAAATTGTTTTTTTTTTTTCATTACTTGACTTAATTAGCTAGTTATTTTATTACTATTATAAAAAAGCTTATTGATTTTTTTCTTTTGTAAAAAAATATTTGTTTTTTCGCTTATAAAAATCTGCAAATTAAAATAAAATTGTTTTCAATAAATTTTTTATACATTAATAATAATTTTTTGTTAGGTTTTTTGTTTGTTTTTGTATAAAAAATCTAATTACGAATGCTTTGTTGTTCGGCTAAACATTTTCTTCATTTTCTTCTTTATCAAAAAATTTCTAATAACTAAGAAAAATAATTCTTATTTGTTGTATTAATATTATCAGTTTTGTTTTCTTATACTCTATATACATACTGATGTTTTTAATTTAATTATAAAGTGGGTCTTTTTAATTTATTATTCCAAATTGTAGTTATTTTTTTTCTTTTTTCAAACATTTTCTAATAATGTTTGTTTTTTACTTTACAAATTTGGCCAAGAGTTTTAAATTTTATATTTATAAAAAAAATTTTCAGGATTATCTAAATTTTCTTTACTCTTCATTCTTCTTCTTCATCCATCTAACTTATCTGGTTAATAGTTCATTTTGTCGTTTTTTTTCATTTTTTTTAATTTAAAATATTATTTTTTATAACTAATTTTTTATATTCTCATCAGTGCTTTTTTTGAATTGTTTTCTTAGATATTGGCATTTTTTATATAAATATATATATAGATTTTAAATTTTAATAATAATAATAATTTTATTTTTTATATATATGAAGCTTAATGATGAATTTCTTTAAGTGTCTCCTCCTCTGCTGGGATCTACAAGGGTGTATCCCTTGTATTTCATGATGAGGGTTTAATATGCTAGTTGTTGTTTTTGTTTTCAAAAAGAAAATTCAATGGAATTGGGCTTAATCGGTGAGTGTTTGAGCCACTAGGGCCAGCTGTTCCTTGAGAACGCGGAATGATGGTCGCTCTTCGGGACCGTGGGACCAGCATTTCTTCATGACCTAAAAAAAGAAGAAAAAAGAAAGGAAAATATTAGAAAAAAATATATAAAAATAGATGATATTTATTCTATGGGGAAAGGTGTGAAAATGGAGACCATGCGGTTACCACTAGGTCTTCTATATCCAATAGGTCTTCTTCGATATCCAATGGAAGACATATTTCTCTTTTAGAGCTAGTAGAAGACTAAGTGATCTTCTATAGCCAATAGACGACCAAGTGATCTTTTTAGAATAATTTTTTTGCGGACCCATACAAGGCGTGGATATTTAAAATAATTTTTTTCGGGACCCATACATGACGTGGATATTTAAAATATATTTTTTTCGGGACTCATACATGGCGTGAATATTTAAAATAACGTATTTGAGGGTCTACACAAGGCGTGGATCTTTAAAATAACTTATTTGAGGGTCTATACAAGGAGTCGATATTTAAAATAACTTATTTGAGGGTCTACACAAGGCGTGGGTATTTAAAATAACTTATTTGAGGGTCTATACAAAGAGTGGATATTTAAAATAACATATTTGAGGGTCCACAGAAGGCGTGGATATTTACACAAGGCGTGGATATTTAAAATAACTTATTTGAGGGTCTACACAAGGAGTGGATATTTAAAAAAACGTATTTGAGGGTCTACAGAAGGCGTGGATATTTACACAAGGCGTGGATATTTAAAATAACTTATTTGAGGGTCTACACAAGGCGTGGATATTTAAAATAACTTATTTGAGGGTCTACACAAGGCGTTGATATTTAAAATAACTTATTTGAGGCTATACACAAGGCGTGGATTTTTAAAATAACTTATTTGAGGGTCTACACAAGGCGTGGATTTTTAAAATAACTTATTTGAGGCTATACACAAGGCGTGGATTTTTAAAATAACTTATTTGAGGCTATACACAAGGCGTGGATTTTTAAAATAACTTATTTGAGGCTATACACAAGGCGTGGATTTTTAAAATAACTTATTTGAGGCTATACACAAGGCGTGGATTTTTAAAATAACTTATTTGAGGCTATACACAAGGCGTGGATTTTTAAAATAACTTATTTGAGGCTATACACAAGGCGTGGATTTTTAAAATAACTTATTTGAGGCTATACACAAGGCGTGGATTTTTAAAATAACTTATTTGAGGCTATACACAAGGCGTGGATTTTTAAAATAACTTATTTGAGGCTATACACAAGGCGTGGATTTTTAAAATAACTTATTTGAGGCTATACACAAGGCGTGGATTTTTAAAATAACTTATTTGAGGCTATACACAAGGCGTGGATTTTTAAAATAACTTATTTGAGGCTATACACAAGGCGTGGATTTTTAAAATAACTTATTTGAGGCTATACACAAGGCGTGGATTTTTAAAATAACTTATTTGAGGCTATACACAAGGCGTGGATTTTTAAAATAACTTATTTGAGGCTATACACAAGGCGTGGATTTTTAAAATAACTTATTTGAGGCTATACACAGGGCGTGGATTTTTAAAATAACTTATTTGAGGCTATACACAAGGCGTGGATTTTTAAAATAACTTATTTGAGGCTATACACAAGGCGTGGATTTTTAAAATAACTTATTTGAGGCTATACACAAGGCGTGGATTTTTAAAATAACTTATTTGAGGCTATACACAAGGCGTGGATTTTTAAAATAACTTATTTGAGGCTATACACAAGGCGTGGATTTTTAAAATAACTTATTTGAGGCTATACACAAGGCGTGGATTTTTAAAATAACTTATTTGAGGCTATACACAAGGCGTGGATTTTTAAAATAACTTATTTGAGGCTATACACAAGGCGTGGATTTTTAAAATAACTTATTTGAGGCTATACACAAGGCGTGGATTTTTAAAATAACTTATTTGAGGCTATACACAAGGCGTGGATTTTTAAAATAACTTATTTGAGGCTATACACAAGGCGTGGATTTTTAAAATAACTTATTTGAGGCTATACACAAGGCGTGGATTTTTAAAATAATTTTTTTGAGAACCCATACAAGAGAAGGAAGACCATGTGGTCGCTAATGTTCTTTAGAAGATCATGGAGTCTCATACATACTAGAGAATTCATTGCAGTCTTCCATATTCTATACAAGAGATCTATAGAATATAGTCGTTTTCTTTATTGAATAACTTGTAGACAATAATATTCTACAGAAACCCCTATGGTTTCCTATATGCTACAGAAGATCCAATGGTATCCTATATACTACAAAATGTGTAGAAAGACCTTATGGGCGTGAATATTTAATAGAAGATTATATTATCTCCTATATTTTACAGAAGCCCACGTTCTCCTCTACAGAAGACCACGTGGACTTCTAAATTTCATAGAATAATATAGGGTCTCTTATATTTCATTGTAGGTCATGGAGTCTCCCATATTCAATAGAGTAAACTGTATTATATTATGTTCGATAGAGGACCCTTTGGTCTCACATATTCCATAGAAGACTATGTGGTCTGCGATATTCTATAGAATGATCTTCTCTAATTAAAATGAGGCCATGTGGTCGTCTAAATTCTACAGTGGGCCACACAGTCTCATATATGCTGTATGATATCATGTGTTCTTCTATATTTTATAGGGGGTTCCTTTGATTTCTTATATTCTACAGAACACCATGTAACCCCTACATTCGTTAGAAGACCATGTGATATTCTATATTCTATTGAAGACCCTGAGGCCTCCTGTATTCTATTGAAAAACATTTATTTCTTCCGTCCATACTTACATCATAAATTTCCTTAGCGCATGACTTTGGTTTCTCTAAAATAATACCACGTTGGACACGTTCAACAACTTCAGTATTCTTTAGACGGCCATAAGGCATTTTGCCGCAAGTGAACACTTCCCACATGAGGACACCTGCAATAGAAACAAAAACTATTAATTATATGCCCTCCAAAAATTAATTTCACAAAACTTACCATACGCCCAAACATCACTTTTCGACGAGAAGCGTGTATAATTCAAGACCTCTGGTGGTGCCCATTTAATAGGAAATTTGGTACCACCCGAACTTGTATACTGATCGTCCAAAACGTAACGGGCCAAACCGAAATCGGCAACTTTAACGACATTTTCGGAGCCCACCAAACAGTTGCGGGCAGCCAAATCGCGATGAATGTAATTGTGACGTTCCAAATAGGCCATGCCCTTGGAGACCTGAAGGAGAGAGAGAGAGAGGGAGATATTTTTATTATTTTGTTTTAATTTAATATAAATATTTGAATATTTTTTTTAAAACCTTCTAGAGGCGTGGGTTTTTAAAAGAATATTTTTGAAAGCCTAACAGAGGCCTGGATTTAAAAAAAGAATATTTTTGAAGGCCTAATAGAGCCCTGGATTTAAAAAAAGAATAATTTTGAAGGCCTAATAGAGACGTGGAATTTTAAAAGAATGTTTTTGGAGTTCTAATAGAGGCGTGGATTTAAAAAAGAACATTTCTGAAGGACTTTAGAAACTTGAAATTTATAAAAGAATATTTTTTGAGGTCTAATAGAGGCGTGGATTTAAAAAAATTAATATATTTGAAGGCCTTTAGAAGCTTAAAAATTTTAAAAGAATATTTTTGGACGTCTAATAGAGGCGTGGATTTAAGAAATGAATATTTTTGAAGGCCTTTAGAAGCTTGAAATTTTTAAAAGAATATTTTTTGATACCCCTATAGAGGCGTGGATTTTTAAAAGAATATTTTTGAATGCCTTTAGAAGCTTGAAATTTTTAAAAGAATATTTTTTGATACCCCTATAGAGGCGTGGATTTTTAAAAGAATATTTTTGAATGCCTTTAGAAGCTTGAAATTTTTAAAAGAATATTTTTTGATACCCCTATAGAGGCGTGGATTTTTAAAAGAATATTTTTTGATACCTCTATAGAGCCGTGGATTTCTGAAAGAATATTTTTTGATACCCCTATAGAGGCGTGGATTTAAAAAAATAATATTTTTTGATACCCCTATAGAGGCGTGGATTTTTAAAAGAATATTTTTTGATAACTGTATAGAGGCGTGGATTTAAAACATAATATTTGCTGATACCCCTATAGAGGAGTGGATTTAAAAAAAAGAAGATTTTTGAATATCTATAGGAATTTTGGAATCTTAAAAGAATATTTTTGCAATGCACGGCTTTTTCTAAGAAATATTTTTGGAATGCACGGATTTTTCAAAGAAATATTTTTGGAATGCGTGGATTTTTCAAAGACATATTTTTGGAATGCCTTATACAGACTCCGTTTTAAAAGAATATTTCTTGAAGGCCTTATAAAGACGCGGATTTTTTAAGGAATATTTTTGGAGTTTTAAAAACATATTTTTGAATTTATAATAGGGACGTAAATTTTTAATTGAATATTTTTTAAAACATTTAAATTTTTATTAACTCACCTGTATACACATATCCAACAGCAGACCCATATTACCAATCAATGTTGTCTCATGACGCCGCAAATAGTTCAACAACGAACCATGTTTCATATATTCCGTGACTATATAAATTGGACGATGTTTCGAGCAGACACCATATAGCTGTACCAAATTTGGATGTTGTAATTTGGTCATAACTTTGGCCTCCTCAATGAAATCATCCTCGGACATGGTGCCTTCTTTCATCATTTTCACAGCAGTATCAATGGAACCACGCCATTTGCCGCGACGTACAACACCAAATTGACCGGAACCGAGTTCTTCCATCAGCATTAATTCCATGGGATGGATTTCCCATTTATCTGTAAAAGAAGAGAATATTTTTTCTAAATTATTTAAGAACGATGAAGAATTGATGATACACTTACCATGTGATAAACCTGCCGTTGGCGGTACTGGACGATCACATGGCGATGATTTTAAACGGCATGCCAAACCTCCGGAATTATGCCGATGATAATTGATTAGATCTGGTATAGTTTCGCAGCAATGTTTCTCACTTAAATAGTATTCTCCGCGAGCATTTTGTTTGATGTGATAGTGTTTAACATGTGATTGGGGACTGGAAGAAAAAAACGGGTTTTTTGAAAAATTAGTGAATTAATATATATATATATATATATTTATTTAAAAATAATATAATTTATATATAATTTAGAGATGACCCTGTGGTCTCTAATATTATGAAAAAGACACTGTGGTCTCACATATTCTATAGAACACCCTGTGATATCCTATATTCTTTACAAGAGCCTTTGATATACTATATTATATTTAAGGCCCTGATACCTCCTATATTCTATAGAAGGGAGAGGCTCCTCCTATATTCTAAAGAAGGTCCTGACATCTCCTCAATTCTATATAAGACCCTGTGGCCTCCTATATTCCTATATTATATAAAATGCCATGTGGCCTCCTATATCTCATGGAAGCCCATGTGGCCTCAAATATTGTATAGAAGGCCATGTGACCTCCTACATTACATGAAAAAGTTTGGGGATTCCTATATTCTATTGAAGAATATGTGGCCTTCTATATTCTCCTATATTCTCTAGATTACCATGTGCCTTCTATATTCTATAGAAGTCTTTGTGGTCTCTTATATTCTATTGGATTCCCTATAGTCTCATATGTTGTATAAAAGACTATGTGCTCTCTTGTATTCTATAAAAGACCATATGGTCTCCTATATTCTACAGAAGACCACGTGGCCTTAGATATTCAATAGAAAGCATTTAACCTCATATATTCTCTAGAATAATGTGACTATGTGACTTCCTATATTCTATAGAAGACCCCTTGGCCTCTTATATCCTATACGAGGCCTTATATTTCCTAACACCATGAGAACTTATATATCCAACAGAAGACCATGTGGCCTTCTACATTCTACAGAAGGCCATATTATCTTCTAAATCGAATCAAATTGCCAAAAACTCAATTTCTCAAAATACTTACACTTTGGTATGCAGCGATAGTGTATATAAACCTTTTGTCGATGATTTACGCACCACAAAACAGCCTTCTTTGTCGCCTTGTTTCAATAGGGATTCGGCACGCTGACGTGACATATCACCCACGTACCATCTAGAAAATAAAAAAAAAAATGTTGTATAAAAAAGTGGTCATTTAATGAAGTTCAACCAGCTACTTACTCATAACGTTCCAAACCCAACAATGCCTTTGGTTTGACATAATTGCTGGGTATATAGCCGACATTGCCCATGGCATCTTTGACTTTCCACCAATGTTCCTGGGAATCATCGATAACTTCATATTCGGCATTCTAGAAAACAGAAGGCAGATTTATATTAGATTTTAAGATCCAATGAACAAAAAAAAAAAAAAATATTTCAGTATATTTACCTTTTCCAATGAAAGATCACCACCTTCGATGGCCTTGAAGGGATATAAAGCTACGACAATTTTAACAAAATGTGAATTGTCCTGCGGGGAAGAGAAGAAGAAAAAAGAAACAAAATATTAGTTAAATAAAAGTTAAGAAACATTATTTATAAAAATAATTTAAAGAATACTTTTCTAAGGGCCTAAAAAGGCCAGTATTTTTAAAAGAGGAGGTCTAATAGAGGAGGCTTGGATTTTTAAAAGTAAAGTTTTAATAAGAATATTTTTGTAGGGCCTAAAGATGCGTGGATTTCTAAAAGAATATTTTTGGAGGTCTAATAGAGGCGTGGGAAGTAGGTTTTTAACAGCATATTTTAAGGGGCCTGTAAGGGAAGTAGGTTTTTATCAGCATATTTTAAACGGCCTATAAGAGAAGTAGGTTTTTAACAGCATATTTTAAGGAGCCTGTAAGGGAAGTAGGCTTTTATCAGCATATTTTTAAGGGACTACAAGAGAAGTAGGTTTTTAAGATCATATTTTAAGTGGTCTATAAGGGAAGTAGGTTTTTAAAGGCATATTTTAAGGGGCGTATAAGAGAAGTAGGTTCTTAACAGCATATTTTTAGGGGCCTATAAGGGAAATAGGTTTAAAAAAATAGGTTTTAAAAACAAGTAGGGAAGTAGGTTTTTAACAACAAAAAATATATTTTTAGATGACTATAATATTTATAGCGGCCTATTTTTAGAAACCTATAAAGATCGTAAATTTCTAAAAGAATATTATTTTAGAAGTCCTAAACAAGGCGTGATTTTTTGAAAGAATATTATTGAAGGTCCTAAACAAGGCGGGTATTTAAAAGAAACATATTTTGGAAGTAGTAAACAAGTGTTAGACGTATTGAGCTGCAGCGACTACGTTGGCATATAAAAGCGAACGAAGCTGATGATTCACGCAGAAGGGAAGGCCACGAATAAGATGGAAAGATCAAGTGGAAGATAACATTGCCGAATATGGTCTTTCAAATTGGAAAAACTGCGCAAAAGACCGGCGCGCCTTGAAATCTTTTTTAAGCCAAGAAGAAGATTTTTGATAGTTTTGAAAAGGTGGGTAATTACAAATTATCTTTTGAGGTTTTTTTAAAAGGTGAGGTTTTGGAAAATATATTTTCTGAGGGTATAGAAAAGGGGGGAATTTAAAAATATAAAGTTTTAGAAGGTTTTGAAACGGTGGAAATTAAAAAAAAGTTTTTAGGGTCATGCAATTTTTATGGATTAAATATTTGAAGGTCTTACAAAAAAGATGAGATTAAAAAATAGAAGGGCTTTAAAAAATATTTTTGGGGGTATTTAAAGGATGGGAATTAAAAAATGAGAGTTTTGAAAATTTGCGAACTAAAAATTTTTTAGAGGGTCTCTAGTAAATGTGGAGTTTTTAAAAAATATATGTAGGGATTTAAATAAAATATTTTTGAGGGCCCTGAAAGTAGGGAATTAAAAACAATATTTAGGGTTTTGCAAATATAAGGAATTAAAAATATTTTTTTGAAGGTCTAATACAGGAGGTTTGAAGGCCTAATAAAGGAGGTGTGGATTAAAAAAATATTTTTGAGGTTCTTCAAAGGCGGACCTTAAAAAAATATATTTTTTTATGGTCTTGCAAACAATGTGATGAAAAAAATATTTTAAAGCGTTTGGAAAAGTGAATGTTTAAAAAAATATTTTTGGGTATCTTTTTGTTATTTGAATTTTGCCAGATACCCTAAACTCTTTCGAGTTTAGGGTATCTGGGTATCTTGAAAATGTGAAGATTTAACAAAAGATATTTTTGGAAACTTTGAAAAGGTGGGTATTTAAAATTTTTTTAAGTGAGTTGAAAAAGTGGCAATTTAAAAATATATATTTTTGAAAGGCCTTGAAATGGATAAAATTTGGATATTGAAAATAATATTTCATTTGAGAGTCTTGTAAATTCGAGAGTTTTAAAAAAATATTTTTGAAAGGAGGTGTGGTTTGAAAAAATATTTTTGAGGTTCTAAAAATTTGGAACTTTAGAAAGGGTTTAAAAAAGTATATTTTTGATGGTCTTGGAAAAAAATTGATTTAAAAAAATATTTTTATAAAGTTTTGAAAAGTTGGATATTTGAAAAATATTTTTAGGGCTTTGAAAAAGCGAAGACTTAACAAAAAATATTCTTGATAGCCTTGAAAAGGTGGGTATTAAAAAATTGTTTGCATTGAAAAAGTGGGTATTTAAAAAGTGTGAGGGAAATGTGGGGAATTAAAAAAAGTATGTTTAAGGGTCTTGAAAATTTGGATGTTAAAAGGAATATTTCTTTTGAAGGTCTAAAGGTGTAGAAGGTGTAAATTCGGAAGATTAAAAAAAATATTTTTGATTTTTTGGAGGGGTTTGTAGAGCTGTGTTTTTTTTGTACTATTTTTTGAGGGTCGTGAAGATATACTTACCTTAGCTTTAGAGTTTGGTGTTCCTGGAGTTGGTATACCACCTGGCATTGTGTTATCCAATAGAGAACCGTTACCGTTTAATAAATTTGGCGACTGTTTAAATGTGGATACCGATGACTAAAAAATAAATTATGAAAATAAAATTTTGATTAGTATCTGTGGTTTTTAATAATTTAAAAATTTAATTTTTGTATAGATAAACGCCCTTACCTGTGGATGCAGCGATGTGGGCGTTGAACTACCTATACTGCCAGAACTATTGTGATGCAAACTAAATTGACTCGTTGACGTTGAATTATTTGGACTAATGCTGCGCTGTGATATTTGGGCTGGTGAGCTACCAGTACCTGGAAAGAGTAGAAAATAAAATATATCAAATTAATAAAAAGGAATTTAAAGTGTGTTTTGTTATAGAAATATTTAATTGAATATTGTTCAAGGTAAATTTGCTTTTTTAATAAGAAAAATTAAAAAAGGTTTTTTTAAATAATAGATGATTTTTCAATAGGGCTTAGAAAGGTGGCGTACATTTTGAAAATATTTTTTCTTAAAATGTTTTAAAAATTTTTAAAAGAATATTTTTTAGGATCCTAAAAAGTTATAGATTTTTAAGATTATATATTTTTCTATGATCTTAAAAAGGTGTACATATTTAAAAGAATTTGTTTGTTTTTATAAAACATTAATAATTATATGGTAATGATTTATTAAAATCAATAATAAATCAAAAAAGTTCAAAATGTTGCAATGAATCATTATTAAGCATATCAAAACAACATGTGTTTCTTCTTAGCCATAATTTCAAGGTTGAGCAAAATTAAAAAAAGAAACAAGAAAGATGATTTATAACGACTTATAATTATCACACCATGCATGCCAATTTTTTTCTCTTCATAGTTCCGATTTGTTTGTTGTCTAATTTCCGAAGAAGAAAAAACTCTAATGATTGGGTATTGACATGATGAGAACATTTTTGAAATTAAATAATATATAATTTCATTTCAATGAAATTTTTCTAAGGCCCAACAAGGCGTAGATTTTTTAAATAATTTTTTCCCTAAGGCCCAACAAGGCGTGGATTTTTTAAATAATTTTTTTCCCTAAGGCCCAACAAGGCGTGGATTTATTAAAGAATATTTTTTTCAAAGGCCCAACAAGGCGTGGATTTATTAAAGAATATTTTTTCAAATGCCCAACAAGGCGTGGATTTTTTAAGGAATATTTTTTCAAAGGCCCAACAAGGCGTGGATTTATTAAATTATATTTTTCTAAGGCCCAACAAGGCGTAGATTTTTTAAAGAATATTTTTCTAAGGCCCAACAAGGCGTAGATTTTTTAAAGAATATTTTTCTAAGGCCCAACAAGGCGTAGATTTTTTAAAGAATATTTTTCTAAGGCCCAACAAGGCGTGGATTTATTAAAGAAAAAATTCCCAAGGCCCAACAAGGCGTGGATTTATTAAAGAAAAAATTCCCAAGGCCCAACAAGGCGTGGATATTTTTTCAAAGGCCCAACAAGGCGTTGATTTATTAAAGAAAGATTTTTTTAAAGGCCCAACAAGGCGTGGATTTATTAAAGAAAAAATTCCCAAGGCCCAACAAGGCGTGGATTTATTAAAGGAATATTTTTCTAAGGCCCAAATGAGGCGTGGATTTTTAAAGGAATATTTTTCTAAGGCCCAAATGAGGCGTGGATTTTTAAAGGAATATTTTTCTAAGGCCCAAATGAGGCGTGGATTTTTAAAGGAATATTTTTCTAAGGCCTACAAAAGGCGTGGATTTTTAAAGGAATATTTTTCTAAGGCCTACAAAAGGCGTGGATTTTTAAAGGAATATTTTTCTAAGGCCTACAAAAGGCGTGGATTTTTAAAGGAATATTTTTCTAAGGCCTACAAAAGGCGTGGATTTTTAAAGGAATATTTTTCTAAGGCCTACAAAAGGCGTGGATTTTTAAAGGAATATTTTTCTAAGGCCTACAAAAGGCGTGGATTTTTAAAGGAATATTTTTCTAAGGCCTACAAAAGGCGTGGATTTTTAAAGGAATATTTTTCTAAGGCCTACAAAAGGCGTGGATTTTTAAAGGAATATTTTTCTAAGGCCTACAAAAGGCGTGGATTTTTAAAGGAATATTTTTCTAAGGCCTACAAAAGGCGTGGATTTTTAAAGGAATATTTTTCTAAGGCCTACAAAAGGCGTGGATTTTTAAAGGAATATTTTTCTAAGGCCTACAAAAGGCGTGGATTTTTAAAGGAATATTTTTCTAAGGCCTACAAAAGGCGTGGATTTTTAAAGGAATATTTTTCTAAGGCCCAAAAAAAGTCTTCTAAATAAAACAATCTAAAGACTTAAAACACAAACACGCACAATTATTTTATTTCTTGCAGAATAGTTTAAGAAGTATTTCTTTGGACACATAAATGGTACTGAAATTAAATGAAAATGTCACTTATTTTTTCAATTAATTTCGAAAATCCACACATCAACCCATAAACTTTAAATATTAAATAAAAAACTTTCCAAGAGCAAAAAATATTCCACAATGAATATTTGGTAAAAAAAAAAATCCCTTACCCTACACAATTTCCTTCATTACGAAAAAATAATTTTTTCAATGGAAATTTTTGAAATATTTTTATGGGAAAAATTACCTTAAATTATTTTAGGTCCGGGTATTTCTAAATCAGTATTTTTTAATTATTTTCCATACTAAACAAGATTTTTTATGGTAAAAAATATTCCTACATTTTTTCCAAGCCAAGTAGGTAAGAAATCCAAACCCCAAATTGTTTACAATATTTTTGAGGTAGCCATGGTTATATGTAGCCATGTGTATGCACATACATCGCCAAAAAGTTGAATGCACTTTGGAATTAATATGCAGAATGCGTAAATTACGACATAGCATACATGTTTTCTGTTGTTGTTTCTGTAAAGTTTGAACAGATTTTTCGTCTTCGTTTTTCAGTCTTGTTTCTTTTTTCATTTGGTTTCATTGGTTTACTTTATTGTGGTAGACTTTTCTGGTATCTGCTCATCGTATAACTAAATAAAAACTGTAAAGCAACATCAAACAAAGTTTCCATTTAACCTCGGCCGTCTTTTTATGTGATTTTATTTTTTAGAGGCGTTTTTTCTTCACGCCTTGGATTTTTTCAGTTGGCTTTGGGTTATGGTTTTTTGAAAAAAAATTGATTTGTTTTGATGTGTTTCGTTGCCATTGTAATTTCAATTTTTATTGTTGTTTGTTAGATATGACACATATTTACACATCCATTTATGTGTATGTACAATTGTAGGTAATTCTTCTTCATTATTGATTGATGGCTAAGGTGAATTATTGTTCAATAGCATCCGCTTCGAGACGCCGAGTTTATTCACATGAGAGGTGTTTCTTAAGATGACCAATATTTGGATTTCCTTTTATGGAGATGATGATGACTTTTTGTATATAAATAGGAGGATTTTTCCCACTGGAAGGATTTTTTTATAAAATTCATTCAAAATTTTCTTCTAAAAAAACTTTTTTTAAGCTACTGTGATTTTTTTCTCGCACGTGTTACTAAAATGTCCAAAATTAAATAATTTGCATTTTTTTTATCTTTTTGTATAACAGGTAATTTCAATTATCTGATCCCCTTTGTTTCAAAATCTCTTTCCTTGGCCCACAAATAAAGTGATAATGAATTATTCTTTTGTTATACAAAAATGACTTAAGACACAATCCAAACTTCATCAATTTAACTCATATACATATGTTACAATATTCTAATTCGGTATTGCCTAAATAAATAAATCAGATGTGAAATAAAATTTTTAATGGGTTTTAATAAAATGTCCGGCCGGAGCTATTGCCTATTTTATTTGGAGACTTTTAAATGAAATATGTGCCGTAGGTTGTTTGTTTTTGTTTAAAACTAGTTTAATCCATATTTTTTTTTTTCATTTTCAATACTGGATAATGAATATTTACTGTTTTAAACAAAAGACTTAAGGCGCATACATGAAATGCTCCTGTTTGTGCTTAAATCTTTTGACAACAATATCGAATTGCTTGCAATTTTTAATGAATTTTTTCTCCATACTAAATAATTAAAAATAATAATTTTTAAATTAAAAAGACTTAAGACACATACAATAAATTCAAGAGTTTGTGTCTTAAGTCTTTTGTCAAAAATGTGAACATATTGGTATTTAAAAGAAAACTAATTTTCTCAGCCACTCAAAAATAGAACAATTTTGTAGTTTTTGTAAATACCTTAAATGCTAAAGTTTGTGCCTTAAGTCTTTGGTCAAAAATGAGGGGTATTTCTGTTTTTTTTTTTTTTTTTTAAAGATTATCCATTATTTAAGAAATTTAAATTTATTTAATTTATTTCATTAATTGAAAAAATCATTTATTTGAAATATAGTTTTTTTCCCACTTCTACAATTAATTAAATCTAATAAAGTGGTCGTGTTTTATTTTTTTCTTGTATTAATTTGTTTTGCAAATTTGTATAGCGCATTTTTACATAAAATAAATACATGAAACACTTTGTGCCAATGTTAATTGGCGGATATGGCTGATGAATGAGCATATTGATTGATAGAAGGGCATTTGCAAATAAATAAAAAAATAACAAAGACATGAATCATGCCTTCAATAAAATAAACAAATAAATATAAATTGAAACATTATTTCAAAGCAAATGTTTGGATTTTGATATTTAACATTGGCCACCTACCACTCTACCATCTGTTTTGTATACGTCGTCTCCTCATTTTTATTTCTGTGCCATTTTAACAGCCATTGTTTAATTTGTGTGTGTGTGTGTTTTTTTTACATTAACATATTCTCGTAGTTGACTTGTTGGATAACTACCATCAACTTAAAGTTCATCGCATGTTGTCGGCATTTTAACAGAAGACAGACATAAAAACTCATATAACCCGCAGCCAAACACTTGATGATACAACAGTATAGACCAATAATACAATACAACATTTATTACTTCTCTTGGCATGACTATATATGCATGTTCGACAACATGTTAAATAAACACCTGAGTATTGTTTTGGTTTTTTTTTTTCTACTTTTTCATTTATTTTTGGTTGTTATTTTACATTAAATCTCGGATTTTGTTTATATATTTTTTCAAAAAAAAAAAAAAAAAAAATAGTAATATTACTCGCCTTAGGTGTAAGTGACATTATCATGATGACATTTATGAACCTCCCCCAAAAATATGAATATAAATAAATTGCAGACATTTAGTAGTTTTTTTTTTTTTTTTTGGAGGCTTAGACGGAAGCCTGAAAAAGTCATTGTATATTAACCTTCCCAGTCATAATAAACCATAAATAATATG